TTCCAGGTCCTGATGAACTAGGTGCAGGAAAAGTGACAGGAGACCACTCTTCTAGCAGCATATACTCGGCTTTGAGACAAGTCCCTAACAAGGATGAATCTGGTGTTCACAAAAATTTGTAATAGATAAAGATAAGTTTTTACAGCCGTAGAAAAGATGCCTTTTTCAACTGAAACTGTGTGAGTGAAGAATGCATCCCACAAAATGTCCCTTTCACCTGTTACAGCTTAACTAAGATCAAGTGCAAAGGTCTTGTTAGCTCATTAACACATTCTTGCATACCCTTGTTGTGCTGAACAAATTTTGAAGCTTCTACTGAAATCTGGAATTGGTATCATGTTTGCAGTTGTGAAGTTGTAGCCCCAGAGAGAACTTCAATACAGCTAGTCATGCCAGCTCATTAAGTTGCATGCATCACAATGTAGGGAGGACATTGGAATTTTAATAACGATGCTAGTTCTTTACTTGGAGAGAAGTGTAGAACACAACAGGAGGGAGCAAAGATATACAAAGATGAACCTGATAAGTATATGCTATTAGCCAATTTAAAAAGGCAACTTTACAAATTGCGGGGTGAAGAAGGAGGGAGTGGAGAAGGGTGAGGCCAGAACCTGCCTGAGCTCAGGGCTAATATATTTTTTTCTCTCATTTGCTTTCTTACTTATTTACTCACTCAATGTAACATGACAACACATTACACATTGAACCCTGGTTGAAGGGCAGCCTTCCAACAAATATTCTTTCCATTTGAGCAGGTACGTCCCTCACTGCCCTCCCCCAACATGATTCCAAAATCACAGAACTGTTGGGATGCAGAAAGCCATTTGCTCCATTGTGTCTGTGCCAGCTCTCTAAATGAGCATCATGCCTTTCTGTCATTGTCCTGCCTTTTCTGTCCTGCACATTGTTTCTATTTAACTAATCATCTCATGCTGTTTTGAATGCCTTGGTGGAACCTGATTGAACTCCATTGTATCGTATTTCCATGTAGTGCATTCCTTCCTCTAACGACTGAAAAAAAATGCAAGAAAGGAGTCTCCTCCACCGACTCCCACAGCTACCTAGAATACTCCTCCTCCCACCCACCTTCCTGCAAAAATGCTATCCCCTATTCCCAATTCCTTCGCCTCCGCCGCATCTGCTCCCAGGATGAGGCATTCCACTCCCGTACATCTCAGTTGTCCTCGTTTTTCAAGGACCGTAACTTCCCCTCCTCGGTGGTCGAGAACGCCCTCAACCGTGTCTCCCACATCTCCCGCACCTCATCCCTCACACCCCGTCCACGCAATAAAAACCAAAAAGGAATCCCCCTCGTCCTCACGTACCACCCCACCAACCTCCGGATCCAACGCATCATCCTCCGACACTTCCGCCATCTGCAATCCGACCCCACCACCAAAGACATCTTTCCCTCCCCACCTTTATCTGCTTTCCGGAGGGACAACTCTCTCCGTGACTCCCTTGTCCGCTCCACACTCCCCTCCAGCTCCACCACACCCGGCACTTTTCCCTGCAAAAGCAGGAAGTGCTACACCTGCCCCCATACCTCCTCCCTCACCCCCATCCCAGGCCCCAAGAAGACTTTCCACATCAAGCAGATGTTCACCTGCACATCTGCCAATGTGGTATACTGCATCCGCTGTACCCGGTGTGGCTTCCTCTACATCGGGGAAACCAAGCGGAGACTTGGGGACCGCTTTGCAGAACACTTACGCTCGGTTCGCAACAAACAACTGCACCTCCCAGTCGCGAACCATTTCAACTCCCCCTCCCATTCCTCAGACGACATGTCCATCCTGGGCCTCCTGCAGTGCCACAACGATGCCACCCGAAGGTTGCAGGAACAGCAACTCATATTCCGCTTGGGAACCCTGCAGCCCAATGGTATCAATGTGGATTTCACAAGTTTCAAAATCTCCCCTCCCCCCACCGCATCCCAAAACCAGTCCAACTCGTCCCTGCCTCCCTAACCTGTTCTTCCTCCCACCTATCCCCTCCTCCCACCTCAAGCCGCACCTCCATCTCCTACCGACCAACCTCATCCCGCCCCCTTGACCTGTCCGTCCTCCCTGGACTGACCTATCCCCTTCCTAACTCCCTACCTACACTCACCTTTCCTGGCCCCATCCCCGCCTCTTCGACCTGTTTGTTTCCTCTCCACCTATCCTCTCCTCTATCCCTCTTCTATCCGCCTCCCACTCTCTCCCTATTTATTTCAAAACCCCCTTCCCCTCCCCCTTTTCTGATGAAGGGTCTAGGCCCGAAACGTCAGCCTCTCTGCTCCTATGATGCTGCTTGGCCTGCTGTGTTCATCCAGCCCTGCACCTTGTTGTCTCGGATTCTCCAGCATCTGCAGTTCCTACTATCTCTCCTCACATTATGTTTACTTCTTTTGTAAGTCACTTTAAATTTGTGTCCTTTTGTAATTGATGCATTACAAATGGAAAGTTTGCCCCTGTCTTCTCTGTCCAGGCCTCTCGAGAAAACCAGTCCCAACTCTTTAAATCTATCTTCATTACTGAAGTTTCTCATTCCTGGACCTGTTGTCAAAATCCTCTTCTGTACTGTCTTCAAAACCTTCACATCCTTTCCAAATTGTGGTGCCCATAATTGTACACAAAACTCTCGCTGAGATTTATCATTAGCAAATTCAGCAATGTCCCTACCCATATACTCTAAGTCTCTATTAATAAAACCGAGAGTACTGTATGCTTTATGAACTGCTATCTCCACCTGTTCTGCCATCTTTAATGACGCTCACTCAGTATCGGCAACCAGAGTTCCAGCTCCAGGTGGAGGTAGGGAGGTTGTTTCTACTAGCAGGTGAAACTAGGACTAGGGGGCATAGCCTCAAAATAAAGGGAAGCAGATGTAGGACTGAGGTCAGGAGAAACTTCTTCACTCATAGGGTTGTGAATCTGTGGAATTCCCTGCCCAGTGAAGCGCTGAATGTGTTTAAGGCAAGGCTAGATAAATTTTTGAACAGTAAAGGAATTAAGGGTTATGGTGCGCGGGCGGGTAAGTGGAGCTGATTCTCAAAAAAATCAGCCATGATCTTATTGAATGGTGGGGCAGGCTCAAGGGGCCAGATGGCCTACTCCTGCTCCTAGTTCTTATGTTCTTATGTTCTTATGATGCATCATTATTGGCAAAAGGTAGAAGTGTCCCAGGGAGCTGGGTTAGGCTTCAGTTAGCGTAGAATACATTAGTACAACAGCGTATAGTACTGGTGGGGACATGTCTGTCACTGTACAACACTAGGATACAGTAATGATGGAGAGACATATGTCACTGTATAACACTGGGGTATAGTCCTAGTGGGGACAGGTCTGTCACTACATAATGTTGCTTTTACAACTGCAGCGAACAGGTTTGTCTGTGGGTAACAATGGACTGGAGCCCTAGTGGGCTCAAGTCTGACACTAAGGTGCGGTACTGGTGTGGACAGGTCTGTTATTTTCTTACAGTAGGGCACAGTATTGGTGGGGACAGGTTCAACTGTGTATAACACTGGGGTACAGTAGTGGTGGGGACAAGTTTGTCACTGTAGAATGATTGCTTTATGAACAGTGTGTTGATCAGATCACATCTCAAATACTATGAGCCATTTCAGTCTCACTATGTAAGGAAAGATATAAAAACGCTGCACCCAACACTACATCTGACTGGAGTGGGCTTAATGGTCCTTTTCCTCCTTCTGTTATATGTATTTTTATATCATTCTGTCCAAACCTGTTATGAAACATCTCCAAGGCAGGTGCGACTTGAACATGGATCTCTGGCTTGGAAGGACAGAAGCTGCTATTATGCCACAAGAGCCCTCAAATCAGAAATATCAAGAGATGTAACCGCAGGACTCAAATTCACATGGGGAAATCTCGATGGATCTCAAACCCATCACTTTAACACTCAGCCATGACGATAGTTGCCTGTCCAGCGATATTACCGCTACACCACCATCTCTCCTTAAATGGAAGAGTTGTGCACTTGCTGGAACAAATTTACATTGGCCAGTACAGAGAACGACTCCCTGCGTATGTTATTATAAGCACCACACTTATCCATCTGAGCCAACCAGCAACCTGTTCATATAAGCTTCCATGGACCTTAAAGGCTCTTGATATTGAGAATGATATTGTTGGTTATTGGTGACCAATTAAATTCATTTCAGGCTCTTCACAGCCTTAGCCAAGTTATGAACTAATGTAAAAGAAAATGTCCATGATCAGTTGGGAACCTCCCTTCTTTCAAGAAGTGACGACATGATGTATTGCCAAAAAAGTAGTACCATAACTCTGAGCTGGTCCCTTGTGTCATTTTTTGTGTACGATGATCCCCTAGTTTCACATTATTTTTCTGTTTAAGAAGGCCATTGTATTCAGGACAGGCAGCAAAGCAGGTGTGGGCATAATCTGTAATGCCCTGTACTTTAAGAAGACCCACCATGTTAAAATAAAGTGCAGTGACTTTTACAGAGGGAGGCTTTCCATGGGAAAGTGATGAGAAAATATTTTTCCAATGGTGACAATGCCTCAGTCATCTGCTGCATATGTTGGTGAATTGACAGGTTTAACATCTATTCCCTAAGGTGAATTAAATAATTAAAAGATGTGAACAATACTTAAACAAGCCAGAGAGAGCGACATAAATCTGTGAGGGCTTCCCTGGGGAAGTGATTGGAGGAGGTGGATCTCATCAGGTACCTGCACCTTGGCTTGTGGACATGGCTCCTTTGAAAGAGTATTCCACCTATAATGTAAACAGAACGGCCTTTAATTCATTCTCAAAAACATTTCCTCTGACAGAAGAGATGGACACTCAGGCAATTGATATGGCTTGAATTGCTTTACCTAGAAATCCCAAAGTGTGGTCACAAAGTCTGATTTAAAGTACAGGAAACTCTTTTAGAAAGCAGAAATCTTAGAAGAAAAAGTATCAGCAAGAAACAGTTGTCTTATTCTATGATTTCTATTTACAGCTGCCTTTTAAAAGTTTACAACCTCTCTAAGATCAATGATGCCGTTTCAACATTTGGGTTGAGGGATTGTGTCGCATGCTCCCGCTGAAAAACACAAAGAGTTGGCTTTACAGTAAATCAATGTACTTTTCATATAAAAAAATAACAGTGCAAAAAAATCATGGAAACAAAGAAACATGAATATAGGAGCAGGAATAGGCTTTTCTGCATTCATGCCTACTCTGCCATTCAATTTAATCATGGCTGATCATCCAATTGGGTCCCCTATTCCCTCTTCTTCCACATACCCTTTGATACCTTTAGCCCTCAGAACTCCATCTAAATCTTTCCCGAAAGTCTTCAGTGTTTTGGCCTCAACAGTTTCCCATGGCAGAAAATTCCACAGGCTCCCAAATCTCTGAGTGAAGAGATTGCTCCTCATATCCAGTCATTGAGAACATCCTTCCTGCATCTCCCTTGTCTAATCCTGTTTGAATTTTATAGGTGTAGGGTGTATGAAAAATTTTCTGTACAATTTCCAGCTTACATCTGTTCCCTGCAGGTGTCAATAAGATCCATAAATCAGAAAATTGATCCATTTAGGTTTAGGATTGTGGAGGTCTCTAATATCAGAGAAAATCAACAAAACTGCATGACTTGGTAGTTGTGTTGCTTCTTAATGATCTGATCTTCAGCTTAAACCTAATTAACCTCCTAAAATATTGATACAAATTTAATTCAAACCCAGAGAATAGATTTAAATGTCATTGTGGACTTATTTCGAAACTCATGTCCTCTACCAGCTGGAAGGTCAAGGACCAATGCATGGCAGTATGATTGTCTTCAGAAAGCAACCCACCAACATGTTCTTCAGAGCAATTAAGGTCGGGCAATAAATGCTGGCCTAGCCAGTGATGCCCTTATTCCCTTCAATGAATATTTTAAAAAGAGCAGTTTGAAGATATTTCTGGAGATGAGGGAGTGAAGTCTTCCCTCCCAGTCCTTAAGTAGACATTTCACCTTCTGTAGGTCATGATATCAGGCCCATACTTGTTTCGGCTTCAGTCTTCCCCTCTGCAAGCAAGAACATCTCCGGAACCCCATCAGAAAGTAGAAGCGCATCAGTGCCAACAAAGAAATAGACTTCTAGGCCAGAATCTATAAGATGTTCTTGCAGAGGACCATAGCCTGCAGGTTGAATACAAAGTTAGGCAGTAGCAGGAAATTCAGAATATCTACTAGACTTAGTCTGCACCAACTATTTGGACTTGGCAGACATTGAGAGTTTTAAGTTTTGTATTTTCATACCCATATATTTCTAACCCTTTCTTCAAAAGATCATCATCATTCTGCAGGTGATTTCCATCATTAACAAGGGCTTGATTTTCCCAGATAGTCTGCAAGCTGAAACAAAGGTTTGTTTTTTTGCTCTCTTGCTCTCAAGTTTACTTTTTAAATGAAAACTCATCATTCATTGATTGCAGCAAAATACTCTCATTGTCAATTATTCACAATGACCTTCAAACTCTGGATATTTCAGTAAAGCAATACTTTCACCCCAATCAAGGTATCTCTTTGTTATGTCAGTTGCGTAAGGACACTGGCTGTCTCTGTAAAGGATTTGTGGAAACTTACCGTAATCTTTTCTTTCTTAGCCTCCGAGATCCATTAGTGTTGTGTGACTTCCAATAGCTGGTCTTTTAGTTCAGCAATCTCCTTCAGGTAATTAGATTATTCCTATCCTGTTCACATTTAATACGTTCACACTCTTTCAATGTTTAACTTGAAGCTTCTTCAAGCTTTCCAAATCCTGTTCAACTCTAGAAGTTCGAGAGCCTCTGCTTACTGATAGCACTTTTGTGTGTTTCCATGGTTGGAGATTCAGTTGCACATTCCAGCTGCTGTTTATATGGATTAACAATTTCTCAATGTTCAAAATTAGCATGATTCAATTTGGTTTTAAGCATATCCTTTTCCCTGGATAGGTTTTCATTAGCTGATTGCAATTGTTGAACTAGCTCTCGATGTGCTGTTTCTAAGAATTTAAGCTTTTTTCTCAGAATGTATCACATTTATCTTGATGGTGTTTGTACATTGTTGTAAAAATGCATACAGCTGATTTTTGTTATCAAAGGTGAGGTACCAATCACTATGTCTAAAGCATCCATGTCTATGAATCTGTGTGTTGTAACCCATGATTGTGACCTGTTTTATGTATGATGGAAAATTCCAAACCACCTCCATCGTCTGAAACATTTCTGATGTTGTAGCCACTTTGGTGGATTTAGAAAATGCTGAAGATTTGCTTGCGTTCTTTGTACTACAGCCAGAGGGTTGTGGGAATCTGGAATGCACTGCCTGGGATGGTAGCTGAGGCGAGAAACCTCACAACATTCAAAGAATACTTGGATGAGCACCTCAAGTGTCACAACTTTCAATGCTATACATGGGCCTAGTGCAAGAAAGTTGGAAGAGAGCAGGAAGTAGTGTATTTTTGGTGGTACAGACTCAATAGTCCAAAGACCCTCTTCTATACTGTGTGATGCTATGAATCATTCAGCAGGAGGGCACCTACCATCTGTTCGTCACACCTGGCTTGGAAAATTGACAGATCTTTTACCTTCAGGTGAATTTCCCCTTTGCTGACTGGCAGGGGAAGATGCAGGTAATGATGTTCCTATCATCTGCTGCTTTGTCCTTCTAGGTGGTGTAGGCCATGCTGTTCAGCGTTTCCTTGGTAAGTTGCTGCAGTGTATCTCGTAGATGGTACATGCTGTGCGTTGATGAAGAAGGCATTGAATGCTTTCTGCATTGATCAGATTTATCATCGCTTCAAAGCACACAACAAACAGACATGAGGGAGGCGTTTCAGTTTGTCACATTCGTCTTTCAGAGGTTGTGATAGGTCAAGAACCTGGGGTTTCCCTGTTGGCCAGGTTTTCCTGGATTAGTCTTCACTATGGTACAGCCAGGGACAGACTGTGAGAGAAGGTGCCATTCCACTCCAATACTGTATTCTTCCCGATAATATTGAGATAGTGCATACATTGTATGTATTCTGTAAAACAGCTGAGAGTATCATTGGACATTGGTGCCTCAGGTGAAAGAGACTTGTGGGAGATGGGAGCGGAGGAGTGAGGCTAGGAATTCCGTGTCAATGGTGAATTTGATAATGGTTAGTAGAAGGACTGTGAAAGTACCTGGGGGAGATGTAGAGTAAAAGTTTAACTCTACCTTTCTTCTCAACATAGCTGCTGAGCATATGTGCAGGTGTCATGTTATAGGTTGTCAGACCAAATGAAACTAGCACTTGAGGGTTTCAGAAGATTCCTTCTGTTACCATCATACAGAGTCATATAGCACTGAAACAGACCCTTTGGTCCAAATCGTCCATGCTGACCAGGCATCCACATCTGACCTAGTCCCATTTGCCAACATTTGGCCCATATCCCTCTCAACTCTTCCTAACTACATATCCATCCAGATGCCTTTTAAATGTTGAAATTGTACCAGCCTCCACCACTTCCTCTGGCAGCTTGTTCCATACACACACCACCCTCCTTGTGAAGAAGTTACCGCTCAGGGCCTCCTTAAATCTCTCCCTTCTCACTTAAACCTATGTCCTCCAGTTTTGGACTCCCTTACTCTGTGAAAAAAGCACTTGGCAATTCACCCTATCCATACTCCTCATGATTTTATAAACTTCTATAAGGTCACCCCTCAGTCTCCGCTGCTCCAGGGAGAAAAGCCCCAGCATGTTCAGCCTCTCCTTATAGCTCAAACCTTCCAGTCCCGGCACAGCCCAGTTTCCTCTGGGTGCTCAGGTTTCCTCCCATAGTCCGAAGATGTGCAGGTTGGGTGGATTAGTTGTGCTAAATTGACAATAATATCCAGGAATGTGCAAAATACGTGAATTAGCCATGGGAAATGCAGGGTTACAGTAATAGGGTTGGGGTGTGGAGCTGGGGGATGTTCTTCAGAGGGACGGTGTGGACTCGATGGGCTGAATGGCCAGTTTCCACACTGTAAGGATTCCATGATTTCCCATGCACAAAGCCATGTTGACTATCCATAAGTAATCTTTACCTTTCCAAATGCTTGTAAATCCTATGCCTCAGAATCCACTCCAACAACTTACCTACCACTGACATAAGGCTCACTGGTCTAATAGTTCCCTGGCTTTTCCTTACAGCCTTTCTTAAATAGCGGCACCACATTAGCCAACCTCCAGTCTTCCAGCAGCTAGCCTGTAGCTATCAATGATACAAATATCTCAGCAAGGGGCCCGCAATCACTTTCTGACCTTCCCACAAAGATCTGGGAAACACCTGATTGAGTGCCAGGGATTTATGTACCTTTATGTGTTTTAAGATCTCCAGCATCTCAGCTTCTGTAATATGAACTCTTTCAAGACATCATTATTTAATTCCCCAAGTTCCTTAGCTTCAATTGCCTTTTCCACAGTAAATACTGACACAAAATATTTGTTTAGTATCTCACCATTTTCCTGTGGTTCCACACATAGATGGTCATGTTGATCTTTACGGGGCCCTATTCTCTCCCTAGTTACTCTTTTGCCCTTAATATATTTAAAGAATCTCTTTGGATTCTCCTTAACTCTATTAGCCCAAGCAATCTCATGTTTCTACCCTCTTTTTGCCCTCCCTCTTAAGTATACTCCTACTGCCCTTATACTCATCTAGCGATTCACTCGATCCTGGTTGTCCAGACCCGAAACGTCAGCCTTCCTGCTCCTCTGATGCTGCTTGGCCTGCTGTATTCATCCAGCTCTACACCTTGTTATCTCAGATTCTCCAGCATTGGCAGTTCCTAATTTCTCTGATGTATACCTCGTTCTTTTTCCTGACCAGAGCCTCAATTTCTCCAGTCATCCAGCATTCCCTACACATACCAGCTTTGCCTTTCATTCGAACAGGAAAAAACTGTCTCTGAACTCTCGTTATCATATTTGCGTTGAATAAAGCCAGATAGTGTTCATTCACCTGAATGTAGATCTGATCTTACTACATAGATGCACAGTGAACTTCACCTCTCTGGAAATGTCAGCATTAAGTGTGTTCCAATTAAAATAATTATAACTTTGAGTTGCCTGTATACGTAAATAGAAAATATTTGAAGAAAGCAATTTCTTCAAAAAGTAACAACTATCGAATCAAACACTGAGCACGAAATATAAAACATTAAAAATATATTTCACTTAAGATTATGAGAGGTTGCAAAAAGCATTTCTTCTGTTCTTAATACATTAGCTGTTAAAATGAAGAGTCTGTAATGTTAAGGTGTCCCTCAGTACATTATAGCTTTAAAACCCCACTCTATGATTGAGTAATATATGCTGACACTCCAGTGCATAACTGAAAGAATGCAATAATGTTCCCAGTGGTATTCTTCAGATGAACCATGAAGTTAAGGAGATCTGTTCAGGTGACTATTAATAATTCCATGGTCCTATTTGAAGAAGAGTAGAGAGTTGTCCCAGATGTCTGGCCAACATTCCTTCCTCAAACAACGTTGCCAAAAGCTGATTAACTGGCTGTTAATCTCATGAATATCTGTGATGCTATACTGTGGATGAAACAATCTCAACAATTCTTTTCAAAACAGGAGTCACTGTTTATAAAACATGCTTTTTAAGCAATTTGTGATGCTTTTGAGAGGGAATTGTGGCATATATTTATTTTTATCTTGCACGTATTTCCACTAACCTAAAGTAATTTGTTTGCTTTCATACGTTCATCACAATATGCAAATTATTTTAGTACCATCTACAGGGTCCAGGTTCTAACAATGTGAAAGTCTGAAGCACTTTTTCTCATAAGTCCATATATTGATTGGTGGGGAAATGAGGTTGTGTTTTTTTTAGTACCTTAGAAATGAGTTTTGGGATGCCAGATTTCCCAGTGGTCTGTTGTGTGCTATATCTCTGTTATTTAGCTGTCCACACCATTTTTGCACTTCAGAAATAAGAGGCATCTGTTTCATTTACGAGCCAGAAAATCCTATGGAAAGACATTTCAATGCAGCTGGAGTCCATCTCACCCAGAATGCACTTTGTCATTGACAGATTTAGGTGTTCTCTTACTGTTTGTGCTCAGTATCAAAGAAGTCTAAGTTATTTTTTACCCTCGCTGTGTATATCCCAATTAAACAATACCAGCAGCAAGCTTTAGTAAGTTTTAAAATAAAGAAGTTAATTTGGTCTTGGACACTTAGCCAAAACAAAATCATAGAATCCCTACAGTGTGGAAGCAGGCCATTTGGCCCATCCAGCCTACACTAACCCTCGAAGAGCATTCCACCTAGACTCACGCCCCTACCGTATCCCTGTAATCCTGTATATCCCATGGCTAATCTACCTAGCTTGCACACCCCTGGACAGTACGGGCAATTTAGTATTGCCAATCCACCTAACCTGCACATCTTTGGACAGTGGGAGGAAACCGAAGTACCTGCAGGAAACCCAAGTAGAAACTGGGAGAATGTGCAAACTCCACACAGGCAGTTGCCCAAAGATGGAATCAAACCCGTGTCCCTGGCATTGTGAGGCAACAGTGCTAACCACTGAGCAACATCTCACACACTCAAACGCAAAGTCTAGTTATAGTTAAAGATAGTCCACTTTTACAAACTATTAATTTCACTTCTGGTTTATGACCTCTGGTCTACTGCACAAGAGGCTAGTAATTTCTTGGATGGTTATG